GGCCTCCAAGTGACAAAGTTCGTAAGACTTTATCTTATCTACACCATGACAATAAGGGAGCAGTTCATGTGCATGAGGGCAACTTGGCTCAACTCATGGAAGATGAGAGCCCTGATGGCTGGAGAAGACCTTCCTGGTACCCAGTATTTCTCCGCTACATGGATGTGCTGAGAACAAAGGGAATAAGAGGCACAGCCTACATTTTCACTGTTTTCATGCTCTTTCCCATGGTTCCAGCTGTCCCCTGGCTCTGCTTCCCACCATCAGCTCTTGCCTCTCAGGACGGAGAGGATTTCGTTCTCAGAAAAATAACATTCTTTGAGGACAAACCAACAGTTTACAGCTCCCAAACCCCATAGGGAGGGTCATTTCATAATGGCTTTAAACCGAGAGAGGGCAGGGTTAGATGAGATACTGGGAAGGAATTCTTCCCTGTGAGGTTGTCCAGAGAAGCTGTGGCTGCCTCATGCCTGGGAATGTTCCAGGCCAAGGCTGGGCAGGGATTGGAGCAACCTGGTCTAGTGGAAGGTGTCCCTGTCCATGGCAGGGGGTTGGAAGGAGATGATCTTTTAGGTCCCTTCCAACCCAAACCACTCTGTGGTGTGGTTCTGTCCTATTTCTATCCCAAAAGGCCTAAAATAAGTTCCTAGAGCACTTACTGGCAACAGACTGGTCATACTCATAGGGTCCAGTTATGAAGTGGGGGATAGACATGAGGAACCCAGCCAAGGAGACCAGGATGGCACCGGTGCCAATGAAACGAGGTCTGTGCACTCGACTCCCAAAGTAACTGATGAAGACGATCAGCAACTCCTATTTCTATCCCAAAAGGCCTAAAATAAGTTCCTAGAGCACTTACTGGCAACAGACTGGTCATACTCATAGGGTCCAGTTATGAAGTGGGGGATAGACATGAGGAACCCAGCCAAGGAGACCAGGATGGCACCGGTGCCAATGAAACGAGGTCTGTGCACTCGACTCCCAAAGTAACTGATGAAGACGATCAGCAACGTGTTCCCAACCTGCAGCAGGACACACAAACCAAGAGGTCTCACAAGGGAACTGGAAGAGCATGGGCAGAGCATTCACCGGGGAGATTAGGAGAAGCAAAGATGGTGTTCACCTCATTAAAGGAAGCGAGCAGCCCTGAGGTCTGGCTGGAGAGGCCATATCGTCTCTCGATGGTTGAGATGGAGCTCTTCAGATAGCCAGAGACCAGGAGCTGGGAGAGCTGCAGCAGTCCATGGCAGAAAACAAAGAACTGCCAACACAAAAAGAGAGCATCCATCACAGTTACTGAGAGCTGCAGTGTAACAGAAAGGCACGAGTCTTGAATATAAACCTTTGACCACAAGCCTTTGAAATATTACCCCTGCTCTGCCACCTGTGAAATCTCCTGACATTAGGTCAAAGACATTAAATAGTCCTCTGCCAAAAATGATGACAGGGTCAGTCTCTGCAAGGAGGGTGTAATTTCTTCAGCTGAAAAGTGAGTTTTGACAAACATATAATTTCAGTTGGGATGATGCTAGTTTTTGTTGGCTTTGTTCCTGAGACTCAGCAGCAGAAGTGGGAGGTTGCACAACATTCCTGTTCCCAGCCAGCCAGAGGCAGGCAGCCATCCCCAGGGCTGAGAGCTCTTCTGGGACAGGAATGAACCCTTCCAAACACAGCAACAAACAACTTTAGAGAGCCAGGAGAAGGTCAAAGAGAAAAAACCAGACTTTTTGTTTTCCTTTCCTTCTTACAAAGCCCTGGATGTAAAGGACATCTCCTTTGGAAAATGTGATGGTTCTTTACTACTTCCAGAAGGAAACCTTGTCACAGACCATCATCTCCCAGAAAATAATCCAACCTCATCTCCTTCTGAGTTTGGGATGTGCTGGTGCTGGGCTGCCCAGACAAACACATGATTCAAGCTGCCTCACCATTACAGAGAACAGCATCCATCTCCCTGGTCCTCTCACAGAAGCATTTTGCAAGTGTGAAATGACCTGTCCCAGGAGGGATGAAGACCACCTCCCCTTCATCCACAGCTCTGCAAAGTTCTCAGCAAAGGAAAGGAGCTGCCAAGCCATCTCCTTCCCTGCTGCCACGTGTTTCTCCACAGGCATTCTTCCAGTCCCCAAATGAGTTAAACAAACTAACCAGCCCAAACAGTCCCATACCCTAAGGAGTTGGACCACACATCTCACTGCAGGACAGGCTGGATACCCCTGGTTCTTCTAGAGCTGCTGCCCTCAGCCTTGGATGACACCCAAACCCTCACGGCACTGCTTTTTGTAGAACCTTTTTGCAATCACTGGCTAGAACACAGCATTGCTCTGGCTCTGTGTATTTTGCAGCCAGCTCCCATCACACAGCAGCCTCACCCAGAGGAGCTGCTCAGCCTGGCCTGGATTGCTGCTGTGTCTCATTCTGATCCAGGGCTGAAATGGACTCACTGCCAAACTGGACTGCTTCGTAAGCCAAAGGAGTATTTACAGCAGAAAAAAAAAAGGAAAAAGAGGATAGTCAAGCTCCCTTGGATCTCTGAGAACTGCAGCACAGGGGTATGTTTACACCACCCAATGCGATGGGTTGGCATCAAGCAAACCAGGATGCAATCCAGGACCTTCCCCCCTTCCAGGCTCATGTCACCACTGATGGGTGCAATGTGTTTGGACTAACAAAATGTTACCCAGCCAAAAGAAAGCTTCCCCAGAGTCAGCTTTGCTAAAACTCCTATCTTCCTACACAATGCTGGCCATGTCCAGGCTCTGTTTCCTGAATACATGAGTTCAGATGGAAAGGTTGAAGCCACATTAATTTATTCCAGGCATCCATAGCATACATCCCAATACGTATCTAAGTCCAGGACCTGGTTTACATCAGCTGAGCAGGTGCCCACCACTGCCTCACATCTTCTTCAGCTCAGGACGTCAAAATGGGTTGGGAATCTGATATTTTATTGTCCCCGATCTAGGCAGAGTAAAGCACAGAAAAGAGTGATGGCCCTGCAAAGGGGCTGTTTGCTGTTAGCCATCAGATCACAGCATGGCGGGTCTTCTGCCAGGAAAAGAAAGAACAGACTCCTGGATTTTAGATCTGCTGGATATGTCCCTCTTTGCCTTTGGTTGCACATGTGATGCTGCATTTTGTCCTGCAGCAAAAATCGCTTGTTTACATTGCTGTATCTGATCAAGACATCCTTAACTTTTATGATCCAGAAAGATGCTTTTCATGCCCGGAAGGAGAGACCATTACTGACACCAGTGTGAACCTTGGAAACAGAGGGAGATAGTTCCCCAAGGACCAACTGCTGCAGAGCATAAGCTCAGCTCTGCTCTTGAGCCACAGGGCATCAATGCCTACAGCATCTCCAAGTTGTCAGAGGTCATGTGGACATGTACACCAACATGTGCTTCTTCTGTCCCAGGAGATCTCAGCAGGGCTGAGAAGGCAACACACTAAAATCTAATTATGTCTGCTTATCAGTTCCCAGGAAACAAAACTCCCAATCTAGAGTATCCCTTTCCACCCTTTTCAAGTACAGGCTGTGAATCTTGTCCACATGACAAGCCTAACATGGGCTTTAAAGATGGTTGTGACACCAGGAGCCATGATTCAGGTCTCTCCCATTCAAATACATGACTGCAAGCCTAGTTTTGCTTGAGTCCCAAGGGTTGAGTCTATACTTGTAAATGAAACAGGCCAGAGGTCATTTTCTGATGCCAAGGCTGGTGGAAACAGAATAGTGTGCATCCACCCTATCAAGCTCACTGAGCCTTCAAAATAGGGCAGCTTCACCCAAAATGCTTCTTGAGAATGGTCCTCAGTCTTCAGGTTTTAGAAAAGTCGGAGCTGGCTCAGGGCTAAGTCATGGAGTAGGTGATCATTCAAAGGTATAATCAGATGAGCTGTAATGCTGAGGTTTTTTGAGGGTCTCACTATGGAAAATGCCCCTCTATCCCTGAAGGTGCTGATCTGGGGACTGGTGTCCATGTGCATCCCTGGTCTGTGCTGGGGTGAAGGTGCTGGGCAGGCTCAGTCCTGTCCTTGAGATCACAGAATAACAGAATGGTTATGATCATCTCATTCCACCCCCTGCCACGGACAGGGACACTTTCCACTAGACCAGGTTGCTCCAAGCCCCATCCAGTCTGGGCTGGAACACTGTGAGGGATGGGGCAGCCACAACTGCTCTGGGCAACCTGTGCCAGTGCCTCACCTCCTTCCCATGAAGGCCAAGCAATGCTCATAGCACCTTCCTTCTACATCAGTAGAAATAAAACAACTCAGAGAATCCAAACAAGCACTTACGTAGGCTGAGGAGGAAGGAAGGGAGAGGTTTAGTAATGACATTTTTAAAGAAATGTCTATGAAGTATTATTAGAAAAGCCTGTGTTGAGATAACACCACACATCATGCTAGACTAGTACTTCAGACAGAAGGTGCTTGGTACTGATGAACCCTTGCCAAAAACAAGCCCCCTGCAGCGCCAGGGTGCAGAGCAACCTTCTTCCTCCAGAGCTGTGCCACTGCCAGTGAGGCACAGAGAGTGCCTGAGGCATCTTCCCAGAGGGAAGCACAGCATCTCTGCCAGGTCTTTGGTGAGGTGCCCTCACTCACAGGCAACAATGTCCCAATTCAAAACCCACAGCCTGCACAACCAGCTCTGGGATGAGCACATCACACATCCAAGGAGGAGCTTCTCTCCAGCCTTACACTCTCAGAGGAACTTGCTGCTTTTCTACTTTTCTATATAAATTTTCTTATATTTCTGCTAGCTTTGCTCTAGTAAGCCTTGCATCACGTTGGTGAGGTATTGCTGCTCCCACTCCATGTGTGTAAGAGAATAGAGAAATACACTCCTACGCAGTCAGTAAATTGCAGACCTGGGTATTAAACACCAGTATCTCCTCTCTTGGTGGTCTGAATAAACCTTCTTACAAAGCTTCCATGTGTTTCTAGTGTTAATTGTGAAGTTTGGCAACAAATTCTTCCTGTAAGGGCTCTGAAAGCTGCACACGCTGTCCTGCTCCAGTCCACACAAGGAAGTCCCTATCATGCTGTTTCCATGTGTTTGTACTATTTTAGAAAAGTGTTTTGTGCCTTAGCATGTGATAAAATCCTCTGCGCTTGGCTGTGCTTACAGAAAAAGGGTCTGGGAGGAATCAGGTTATTCCAGTTTAATCCCAACCAGTTTGATTTGGCATGTAACTGGGCACAAGCATTGCACAGACCCACTTGTAATAAAGGGCTGGGGCAGGGACAGCTGTACCTTGTTCTTGAACTAAAGCACAGAGCAGAAAACACCAAGAGCTGAAGCTCCCACAGGGGGTGAATGTCCTCAGCCAGCTTCCCAATAGCTTTAGGAAGTGCATATGCACCTGCTATGCCTTGAGGAGGATGCTTAATCTTAGAATCACAGATTGGTTTGGGTTTGAAGATCATCTCATTCCAAACCCCCTGCCATGGGCAGGGACACCTTCCACTAGACCACGTTGCTCCAAACCCCATCCAACCTGGCCTGGAACACTTCCAGGGATGGGGCAGCCACAGCTTCTCTGGGCAACCTGTGCCAGTGCATCACCACCCTCGCAGTAAAGAACTTCCTCCTAATATCTCATCTACAGCTTACTGCTCCTTGAAGTCAAAACAAGATGATGGATTTTAATGGAGGCAGCAGCAGATTCCATCTGTTCTGATGGACTCTAGGAGTTCATCTCAAATATCTCTAAAGTCTCAGAGACCATCAGCCCCAGGAGTGCTCCCCAGGACAGTTTTCTGTTATGTCCCTCAGTTGCATTTTGACACATGGCAACTAGTTTTTGTGACACTCTCTCTCTGGAGATATAAATATATATAAAAACTGCAGCGCTGTGATTTTTGGTCCTTCAGCCACTTCAAACACATAAACCACATTGTGCAATGCTTTTGTGTTTCTGCAAGTACCATGCAAACCGTGGTCTGGAAGTTTTGTTTTCTGAGGAAGTAATTTAGAAACCGGACAGGGTGGCCCAACTTCTTGAAAAGAACGACAGAGATCTGGGGGAAACATCCTGTGCTGAAGATAATTGTGTTCTTGGTGACATGCTTGGTCAGCTCTGCCTTGGGGATGAAAACAAGTCCTTCGGGAGTTTAATGTGAAACACAGGAATGGAAGAGAGGTTTCACTCTTCTTCTCTGGCGGCTGCAGCCAGGTTAACCCCTGGCAATACCAGGATAAACCCTGGCCATGGCAGGATGGTGCCTGGCAATGGCAGGATAACCCCTGGCAATGACATGATGACGCACCTGACAGGGTAAGATAATGTTTGGCAGATACCTTTGCTCAGCAAAATAGAGGTTGATTCTGCTTACAGACCTGAGCTGACTTTCCACCTCAGTGCAATGGGATTAGAGTTGTAAATATAATCTTGCTGTAAACAAAAAACAAACAAACAAACAAAAACCCAAACCAAAACAAATAAAACCCAAACAAACAAAAAACATCTGAATGGGCTAAAAAGTGGATTGGGGAGACACCTCAGGACTGTACAGCACTGTGCCTCCAGCCTCTGCAGCTCTGGTGACTCATTTTCCTTCTGCCACAAGGGATGAGGGGGATTAAATTCACCAGCATTTGTGAAAAAAAACCCCTCATACTCCAAAATCTTCCCCACATAAGTGATAGAGAAATCTCAAGCCTTTAACACTGGCTGTCTCCTTTTGCTCTGTGGCCTGGTGAGACTAACGAGTCAGGTAACTGGCTTTCAACTACACAGAATGTATTAACAAATTGATGTTGTCGTTACTGATAAAATGCAACTACTGAGCCAAAAGGAAATGAAGCAGATGCTGCAGGACAGGGGGAGTCATGCCAGGTGCATCCTGTAGTTCTGCAGAGCCCCTCAAACACTCACCTGGAGGACCTGAGGTTGCACTGAGTCCAGGAGGACACTTACAGTATTGCATTGCTATAAGACTTTGAAGAATGGCTTCCCACAGCCAGAGGGTTAGATGGGATATTGGGAAGGAATTGTTCCCTGTGAGGGTGGTGAGGCACTGCCACAGGTTGTCCAGAGAAGCTGTGGCTGCCTCATCCCTGGGAGTGTTCCAGGCCAGGTTGGATAGGGCTTGGAGCAACCTGGTCTAGTGGGAGGTGTCCCTGCCCACGGCTGGGGATGGAACTGGATGAGCTTTAATGGCCCTTTCAACCCAAACCATTCTGTGATTCCCTGAAGTTAAATACTGCAGAAGCTGGAAGCTAAACTTGCATTGCATCACTGCTGTCACACTTTTGGATGGAGATCTCTCCACATCAAATAGCACTTCTCTCTTGGGAAGCACACAAAGCATTTTCCAAATACATTTGGTAATCAAAAATCCTATCAGTGCCTTCTGCATAAAGCTAAACTCCTCTTTACCAGGCCAGTAATCCAAGGGAGTATTCCAGAAAGCAAGAGGTATTTACCTTGATACTCAGGAATGGATTCCTGCAGAGTGTTTTCTGGGATGGATCCTGGAAGCTGCTCTTTGTAGTGGTGCTTGTCATTCTGTCAGGCCAGGTTTATCCGCCTGTCAAAATAAATCATTCAGCACAATGCTCAGTTGCTCTGCCTGAATTCCCCTTGCTCAGCACGGCAAAATCCTGCTGTGCTCTGCAAACACCCACACAGCAGGCACATGGTGTCCTAAGCAATTCCTAATTATTCCTGGGTTTCATTTTCTCTGAGCACCTTGCTTCTGCAGAGCAACAGAGCAGCCTGCAAAACGCTAATCATCAAGAGACCTGAGAGGTCAAATGCTGTTCAACAGAATCAAGAACAATATTGGATAACATTATCTGAGTTGGTTTAACATTGTTATTGCTGACCTGGGTGATGGGGCAGAGTGCACACTCAAGTTAGCTGACAGCAGATCCAAGACTGGGAGGAGCAGCTGACACAGCTGATGGTTGTGCTGCCATCCAAAAGGACCTCAACAGGATGGAGAAAAGGGCATTGATGAACCTCAATGGGCTGGAGAAATGGGCATTGAGGGATCTCAGTGGGCTGCAGAAATGAGTTTTGAGGGACCCAAATGGACTGAAGAAATGGGTATTGAGGGACCTTAATGAGCTGGGGAAATGAGCATTGAGGGACCTCAAAGGGCTGGGGAAATGGACATTGAGGGACCTCAGTGGGCTGGAGAGCCTCATGAATTTCAACCACCTAAATTTAACGATGCAAAGAAATTGGGAAGTGGGAAGCCAGCCCCTCACCCCTGCTCCCTGCACGGCTGACCTCCTTCCCTTCTCACTGCACCCTCAGTCCCTCCTCCCTGAGCGACAGATGATGTCTTTGTTGGTGTTTTAGTCTCCAGGCTTCCTGCTCAGGAAGCTGCATTGTTTGGAGGCACGTTAAACCCATTAGACTTTAATTTGTTGTTCAGCACTTGCTAATAGATGTTTTCACCTCAGCAGCGTCTGCAAGCTCTACGGCAAATGGGGTGAAAGGCTTTGCATTATTATTTTGTGTAATTCTATTTCCCCCATGATGAGAAGAACAGGAGTGAGAACGATAGCCTCAAACAAATTAACAAAGGCATGGGTTGATGTAAATTCTAGCAGGAGGAGACTGCCTTCCCTGTGGTGTTTATAAACCCTTAAGCACAGTGTACAGGAGAGGCAAATTCTGGAGGGGACCTGCACATTGCTGAGTTACAAGCTCCACAGTATCCTCTGCAGAAAGCAATTGCTGCCCTCGGCCCCATTTCAAGAGATATTGCTATAACGAAATCCAGGATGGGATCAATACAGTGAAATCGATCGTAAATTAAAGCAGCCATGAAAAGCTCCCCTGAACCTCTGGAGGGCTCAGCAGTGCTGGAGCAAAGGCACCTGCCTGGCTCTGGGAGCAGTGCTGTGATGAATTGTTGATTGCTGCTGGAGCCTCTCGAAAGCTCAGGGGTGACACAGAGGGAAGGGAAAGGGTGGGAAACCAAGGGAGGAAATGAAAAGGATCCTGAGCCTGGATTTCCAGGGATGGGCATGTTCATGGAGCAGAAAAGCACTGTAGGCTTAATGCCCTGGTTAGCTGTGTTAGCCTTTGCCAGCCCTCCTCACCAAAGATGCAATTAGACCTGCAAACCACAAATTCTGTGCTCTGTAGTAGTGCTTTGGTCCCCCTGCCCATCCTTTCCAGGCCCTCTTTTAAATATGTGCATCTTTTAACCCTTTGGGGTGTCCAGGGAGCTGCAACATCTCTTCCCCAAACACCTTTCAGAGTCTTCTTGGGAGAAGAAAGCAGTAGAAAGCACTGGCAGAAATGTTTTCACTAATCCCTGCTCAGGAAAGTGTAAAAGTCCCTCACCCTTTGCCATGCACCAGAATCACCTCAAATCTCCCACACTGTTATGGAGGAACTTGGTTCTTCTTTTCCCAGGGATGTCCTTTGCACTAAGGACAACCTGCATCACCAGTTAGCAGCCAAAGATGCACAGCCATGTCAGGCTCCATCCCACCATCCACACCTTCATCTCACCTCCAATGAGGTGTCCTACTTCCATTATTACCTGTGGAAGAGGGAGGGTGGCTGAGGCTCAAGGGAAAATGCTCAGCAAAGACTTGAAACACTGCAGAGGTTTGCCAACAGAAATGAGGATAAACCTATTGCACTTAGACCCTGTCCATCCACAGCGCTCCTTTAGGAGTACAATCAAAAAGTACTTTGATCCAGCACAAAGGACAAAAAGCAGATCAAATAAAACGGCAGATAAGACTCAACTGCTTAAAAAACCGAATTGCAGGAAGACATCAGCATGCTAAGGCCACTCTGGTTCTTGTTCCCTTCGACTGGATTGAGCCCAGCTGTGGCAGCATCCTCTGGGGATGGCACTAGCTTGGCAAGAGCCATGTTTTTCTCCTAGTAGATAGACATCTCCAGATGGAAAAAGGATTATTTTCATTTAAGGCAATTTCTTCCAGATTAGGCCAAGAAGTCTGACTCAATCCACTCCTCTGCAGGCAGGAGGCAGAACAGGATGAGAGCTGCGGGCTGGGTATAGCAGGAAAGGAGGGAAAGGAGGGATGAGATAGCAAATACCACGAGATATTCTTACAGCTGAGGAAGAAGACAGCAAAAAGAGCAAAACGCAAGGGGATTGGGGTGGGGGAATATACCTGCTCATATCAGATCTGCAGCCCTCAGCTCCCTGATGGCCCAAGCCTCCTCCAGCACCCCAACAAAGAAGATACACAGTGGGAACTGCTACTCCTGCCTTGTTCCAGGAACACCAGAATGTTCACAGTGTTACCAGTGGAGCAATAGATAACGGGAAAAGGTGAAAAATGATCCATTCCAAAGTGGCAGACCTTGATTTCAGGAGTCTGACCCAAATGCACTCCCAGCCCAGCCCTAATATCTAACCTAAATTTTCCCTCCTTCAATTTGAACACATTACCCCTTGTAGTTGCAGTTCCTAACAAAAAGCCCTTCTCCAGCATCTCCTGTAGGCCCCTTCAGATATTGAAAAGTTGCTATGAGGTGGAATGCAGTCTTCTCCAGGTTGAACAGCCCCAACTTCCTAAGCCTGTCTTCATAGGGGAGATGCTCCGGTCCTCTTATCAACTTCGTGGCCTCCTCTGGACTTGTTCCAACAGTTCCATGTCCTTCTTATATTGAGGACACCAGAACTGCATGCAGTATTCCAGGTGGGGTCTCATGAGAGAAGAGGGGAACAATCACCTCTTTCAACCTGCTGCCCACACTCCTTTTGATGCAGCCCAGGATTGGATTGGCTTTCTGGGCTGCCAGCACACACTGCTGGCTCACGGTGAGTTTCTCATCCACTGTCACTCCTAAGTCTTTCTCCTCATTGCTGGTCTCAATTACTTCCCCACCCATCCCGTAGGTGTGCCTGGGATTGCCATGGCCCAGGTGTAGGACCTTGCACTTCATTTTGTTGAACTTCATGAGGTTTGCATTGTTCCACCCCTCAAGCCTGTCGAGGTCCCTCTGGATGGCTCATCCCTTCTCTCCAGCTGTCACTTCCCCACACATCTTGGTGTCCTCAGTGAACTTGCTGAGGGTGCACTCAATCCACTGTCCATGTCACCAACAAAGATATTGAGCAGTATCTGCCCCAGCACCGACCCCTTAGGGACACCACTCCTCACTGGCCTCCACGTGGACAATGAGCCACTGACCACAACTCTCTG